CAAGGCGCTTCATAGATACAGAGAAAAACCCTTGTTTTGGATGGCTGACCTCAGGCATTTAAACTTATTTACTTTCACTATCTTTACTCTTTGAAAATTCACTTCTCCACCTATCTCCCTATTATCCAGACAAGTGTATTCTGTCTTGCTTCTACTGGCTTGGGGGCGCTTTTATAAAGGAAGCAATCCTTGTTGTACGTTACATAAAAGACTTCCTGGATTTCTCAACACACACTTCGAAAGCCTCGGCAAAGCACATCACACCACTACTAGTTACTAGCACAATTTAAAGAAATTCGGAGTCTTTTGCAAAGTACTGTATAACAAAAGGGCCTAAATAATACAGATTGAAACCAACAGAAGGAGAAATTTGCTTAAGCCGCTTACCCTAATACTGAGCTCTGTCTTCTTACAGTTTGAACAGATAATTTGGTCATTACTGTGGCTTTCTACTCAATTTCCCTATTGAGCTGTGCAGTAATAGATCAGAGAGGCTGTTAACATAGCCTCTTTTATCCACCTCTCACGAAGACGATTACAGAAGTTAAATTTAGTGATATCTTTTAAAAGTGGTCTTACTTAATATACCAAATAACTGATGTTTTGTTCAATATTGTGGAGTTTAGACACATGAGGCTATTTGCAAAATAACTCATTGTCTTTGGTTTTCTTACTTCCCTACTACTTTCAGCTGTGCTATATCATTGCAGACAGAATGTACCAGCCGCTTCTCACTATTTACTTCCAGAATACAGTCATTCTATTATCTTTTAAATAAGGGGTGAGGCTCAGCATGCCCTCCCACTCATCTCCACAACAACCATCACATGATTTCACTTCTACAAACACGCGGTCATGTTGATTTTAGTAAGCAGTCAAACAGGAAATATTTAAGTTTGCCCTTCAAAATAAAATGTGACTCGGGGGTTCTGTCTATAACAATTTCAGGCTAAACACATTTGTCTTGATCATATTTTCCTTTTGTACTGTACAGTAGCTTTAGTTATTTAAATAACAGTTATTGGCGGTATGATTTTAGATGGAAGTTCACAAATCCCAATTAAAGATGGTGATGCCACTTGTGAACAGAGTGCTTTAATATAAAATATCTGCTGACACCAAGGTCTTACACATGCATTCGGGGCTTCCTGTCTCACAATCTTCACATGCATCTTAATTTCTTTCCATCTAACAGCATGCATGCGTGAGAGATCATTTGAAAAAGCAAACCGCCACAGGTGATGTTTTGTAAGTTAATATTAGGTCTAACGATCACCTTTTATTTTGAAGGCAGCATTTGTGATCTTCTACTCTTATGTTGTGGAAATTGACATTTCTGGACGGTCCCTGTTACGCCACTCGCCACACCGTGTTTATTACCTGGGACATTGCAGGGCGCGCAGCGGGTATACCTTTCAGTGTGACTTTCCTCTCCTCTCGTGGTCCTTAGCAGTGAGCATGACTCTGTGTCTGGGATGTCTGTCCGTTCTCGTGGCTCTTGCTTTATCAGTTTATGTTCTACAAAAACTCTGCTTCCCATACTTTTGGAGAGATCTTCTTTTTCTGCAGAAAGTCGTCAGATACGGTGCGAAACTGGAAGTATTCAAGCTGACTTCCAGCGTGCGTACGGTCCTGGACAGGTTCCTCCAGCAGGTACAGCGCATCCCCGACAAACCGTTTGTAATCTACGACGGGAACGTCCACACCTACCGGGACATTGATCGGCGTAGCAATAGACTGGCAAACGTGTTCCTGGAGAAAGCCAACTTGAGGAAAGGAGACTGCGTTGCCTTGCTCATGAACAACGAGCCCGACTTTTTGTGCGTTTGGTTCGGGTTAGCGAAGGTCGGCTGCTCGGTTGCTTTCCTCAACACGAACATCAAGTCCAAGTCTCTGTTGCACTGCTTTAACTCCTGTGGAGCTAAAACTCTAATAGTTGGTTCAGGTAAAAGTCTCTTTTCATTGAAGTGGTATACACCACAGTGGCTCTAGAAACAATTTTATCTTCATGTACAGCATTCAACATTCTTTCTCGATATTTTAATATTGTGTATTGATAGTTTTCTTTATATATTACGCAATATCTTTTATTTTTGTCTCAAATTTATCCTTGCAATGTAGCACAGGAGCTTATTCTGCCAGTAAGCTTTGTGTGTGTTTCTATAATTAAGTTAATCCACTAGTAGGTACAAGTTCAAAATGATATATTAATGCTAAAATATCATTTCTATCGTCCATTAGTTTTAAATGGTATTTTATTTATATTTTATTACTATTTGTTATTATTATTATTATTTATTATTATTTATTATTATTATTTACTTGCTTTCCTGAACAGGAAAAAAACGTTTTAGTGGTTGACTGTAATGCTTGAGTAATTTCTGCAGACTGAAATTCGGATCTAAAATGTGAATTTGTTGTTGTTTTAAACACGTTTTTGACATATTTCCAAAATATTTGTTTTCTTCTTATTAGGAGAAGTGGTCTAATACATTTGTTAAGCACTGCAGATTTACATAAGAAGCAAATTTACACAAATAAAGTAGCAGATATTTGCCAATATAGAAACAAACGGGTATGCTGTCCGTAACTGGGTTTCTGCATCTTCAGAACCCAGGCTGGCTGTTACCAGTTTTACCACATTTGCCAGTTATGTAAGGGTGGACACTGGGGACTGGGCAGTCTTGGCTATCTTCTCCTGACTGGCTATACCACCAGCCACAAGTAACCTGGTACCCTCCACCAGAGCTTTGGCTGTCTTTACAATGTATTCCCTGTAAAAACGGACTGAAATCAAAAACAGTCACAAGAAAAGTCATTATATGATATAGTTTATTCAAAAATATAATTATTGTTATTGTTCATGAATTTTACATTTCATT